CGTGTGCTCTTCCGATCTCCCCAAAACCCCAAAACCCCATGACCCTCTATTAGTGGTCGATTTTAGAGAAAAAGTAAAGTAAGACAGAATATAAATCAATTAAGTTTTTAATAAAATGGAAAAATCAGAGCATCGATGTCAGGAGTTTGGCAGTTCATTCAACTCAACTCGTATTAATTGTCTCTAATCATATGAGTGTCATTTTTTTAGAGGAAGATGATGACATGGAGTCCTTCAGGATCTAGAAGGACGATAGACTAATAATAGTTTCTTTGAAACTGCCAATACAAGTTTATAAAGACATTTCAGACCAAAAATGGAAAGTTAGAGATGGTCCTGTAATAAATAGATAGGCGTAATAATGATAATTTTAGAATTTGTTATATCCGACATTATTTCGCTTCAGGGAAAAGAAATTTCTTAAATTAACTTGGATAGGATGGTCTGGATATGATTGAAACGATTTGAATGAAAATGAAATAATCGAAATCAAAGACATTTTTCACAAAAATGACTGCATTCCAATATTTTTCAAGACAGATTTAATGGAAAAATATACTTATTATCTGGAGACGATTTTATATCCGCTGCTTCATTCATTCAAAGGACTAAATGATTTTAAGTAAAAATATTAATAAGCCATCATATTAACATACTTTAGTGATGACTTTGCCAATTAGGATTACTGGAATGCTTATAAGGAAGTAAATATGATTATGGCTCAAGAAATTCTGAGAAGAAAAGAAGGGACAAAAGATTTGGTCTGGATAAATGACTTTCATTTCTTGCTTACCCCTTTTTATCTTAGAGAATAAGATGAATCTGCCAGGATTGGTCTCTTCCTGCATGCCTCTTTTCCCAATTCTTAGATAGTCTCAATTTTTCCTTAAAGAAATGAATTACTTAAGTCAATGCTGAATTGTAACTTGATAGGCTTTCATTTATTTGAATATGCCAAAAACTTTATGTTGACTTGCAATAAGCTACTAGATCTCAACTATGAATTTAGAAGAGGAGGGTGCCTAGGTATAGATTATGATGGTAGAAATGTTATGCTAAGAATTGGTCATGTGGGTATCGAGAAAGAATATATAGACGAGGTTATAATTGGTCAGGAATTCAGCAAGTACTATGGAGAATTACTAAAAGATAAGTTCAAAAATAAGATAGTAATAGCTGCTGTCGATTATCTGCATCCAATAAGTGGTATAGATAATAAACTTAGAGCACTGCATAATTTTCTTCAAGACAATCCTAAACGTAGGAAACAAGTGATTTTTATCCAATATGCTGTGCCAATGAGAACTGTTGGACCAAAACTTATATAGCATTAAATGTTCAAAAAGGCCATTGAATCTATTTTGGAAGTAGCCAACTAAATTAAGAAAGATTTTGGTGATGTTCTACAGCTTAAATTTGAAGGTCCTTCCAAAGGGTAAAGATGTGCTCTCTGGGCTAGAGCAAACTTGCTTCTTAATTCTAGTCTTAAAGACGGGTTATGTTTGGTATATTCAATTCAGTCTAATTTTCTAATTATAGTAACCTTTGGAATTTCTAGCAGTAAAGCAATTTCTACGAAAATCGGAAGAGGCCTCAATTATTGTTAGTGAATTTGCTGGAGTGAGCTAAGCTCTTCCAGGAATACATAAAATAAATCCTAATAATGTAACTAATATCACAAACTTATCCAATAGATTAATTAAATAAAAGAAACAATTGAAAAAGTGTTGGGAATGAGTGAAAGTGAACGTGTGGAAATGTTTGATTAGGCATCACATTATCTAGATAAACATTCAACACTAAAATGGGCTCGAGCTTTTTTAACAGATCTAAAAAAGGCATATTAACCTGTATAATATTCATTTAATGAATAACTTAATTCAGACATTATTGAGCTACTACATGGGTGTTCATCACAACAAGGAAAAGCGTTTGATGCGCTAAAACTAGGATTACATTAAGATTAATGAGAGTATAATGACGAAAATTTAAAGATCCTACTAAAATACAATAAATAGATTAATAATCATTGACTAAGAAGTAATACATCATTAAATTTAAATATATAGGGTACGATTCCTCGGAAAATATCCTCGGATCCTGAGCCATGTCCTGATATAGTTAATATTTTGGACTAATTGACTAGAGATTAAAGAAATACAGTTTTAGTCATTAGCCCACACTCTGGAAGACAAATGCATGAATGGTATCATGATACTTCCTCAATAATTCTGGCAGCAGAGGATGGCTATTAATATAGATTAAATTCAACAAACAAAAATCATTTCGATTGGAATAACTTGCTTGAACTTGATTCCACTCATAAAGAGTGGATGAATCTAGTCGAGAAACTAATGGATCATTATGTTGATTAGACTGATGGTGCATTTGTGGAAAGAAGAGACAGCAGCATAGTTTTTGACTTCTCAGACGCTGATAGGTAGTTCTCACATATGATTGTCCAAGAGTTAGGGTAACACATAGATCAGCTAATTGGATAGTAATATCAAATAACTAAAGTATATGGGTAAACTTACTTTCAAGTAAAACCTCTAGAGCTAAAAAAGGTATTTAATTCTTTTTAAATGACACAATAATAGTCTACGGTGATAGATTTAGTGCTATAGTCTATTACTAATAAGTTCAAAGTGGATTTTATTTTATTTGTTGGGGAGGCATGCGCCAATTAAGAAGCATTTTGCTACCTTAACAAAATTGATAAGTACAAAGCAAAGAAGTTCATCTAGCTTGATCCAGAGGTATTCTCTTATTTAAAAATATCAATTTATAGAAACAAAGTAAAATATTTACATGCACAGTTGGAAAAAGACCAACCAATGCTCGTTATTGCTTCAAGGATACAGCAGATATGTGCGAGTTGCTAAAAACTCTCTCAAATAACTCAGTCAGAATGAAGCGCAATAAATCAGCTCCTAATCTAATTGAGACCGATGTTCCAATGCCAAAAGATTGTGATATCGAGAGAAAAAGTGTGATTACATCAACTGGAAGTATAAATAAAAAGAATGCACAGTATTTAATTGAAAGAATAAAAGACCTTAAAAAATAGTAATAATAGGAAGATCCCTATTTTCAAACTTAGCCTTAACCAAACGAGAAAAAGATAATTACAATCTAGCAATAAATAAAAAGACAATACTTACTAGAAGAAGCGAGCAAGCAATGAATTCTCAAATACGTTAAAGGCAATAAAAATATATATTTAAAATACTAACATAACTCTATTAATAACTATATTGGTCTCGATTTAATAAGAATAATTTGACATTAAGTAATGAAGTTCATTTTAATTTTTATCAATAACTTGTCGACTTTTCAATTCTGATCTCAGGGGTTTTGGGGTTTTGGGGTTTTGGGGTTTTGGGG